GTCAGACCGAAGGTCGTGCTGAAACCCATTTGAATGGGGATCACTAACAGACCCTACTCTGTCGACTTACCAGTCAATGCCGGGTGTCCTGCCCTATCGGAATAACTGCTTTGTGGCCTACATGATTGGCTACAATTGCAGCAGGTGATCAGGTGAACACTACAGTCTAACCATTGCGAGTGACAACCCATGCGCATTTGGCGTGGTCAAGTACAGCTGGTCGAATTATCCTGACATGGCTCTCCGCGCTTCTGTGTGTACGGGCTCATCAAAACTAAGTCATAGTTTCTCTGGCCAATTTTGGATGCGTAGTGTGATGGGAACATAGGTTTTTCTGGCTACCATGGAGGTCGCTCTGACTTCTTCCCTCTCATCGCGTTTTAGGTCATTTGCTTCCGCTCACCGTCGGTCGTTTAAAATGTTTGGCCGGGAATTTTCGGCTTCCTCTTGTTTCTGACCCCCACTGTGACTTCTGTGCTTGCGCCCAAATCCCCGTCCCCCTCGTCATCACCAAGGGCTGTTTTTCGAGTGTCCGTCATACTTATCGTACTCTTCCACGGTTTCCACCGAGACCAGGGTAGACTTGGCCATAAATAACGACCTGAAGCTGTGTTTTGTCCATTTCTAGGCATGAATACTGCCTCCCCGCTCAATGCCGGCATGGCAGGGTAATTCTACTTCCGTCGTCGGCTGCATGAGACGGAGGGAGCCTCCCATTAGAGTAATAATAAAACAACAGGACGAGTGAGTTTTTAGAAACGACCAGTGAGCGCCCCTCTTCTAATAATAAAACATTTAGCGTCAGAGGACTCCCGAAGTGCAAGTTGCGCGGGCGCGTATATTGACAAATACATGCCGAAGATATTAAAGCGGTTCCGATGTTGTGACGAGTTGAAAAGTGGCCTCAAACAGCTTTTATTCTCGCGCTGGTGGATAAACGATTTATTTCATGAATACCTACTAAGAAGCCGTTAAAATTCGACTATAGGCCGCATGTAGGGATCGCCCTCTGATGATAAGCCGTCTGACCTTGCAGTCCAATAAGATGAGATTTTCTTATTTGCTTACACTTATTCCTTTATAACCTGTGATACCACGTCTTTTGGCATAAACCATTTACCAGGGATTGACGCACAGATATAAATTAAGTTCTTCGGCACACAATCCTACAGATCGTGGGGGACCTGACTGCTGAACCAAACTGCAGTTACGCCATACAACGACAGAAGCATTAACGAGACGCGTGTCAGGGCGTCAAGTCTGCATCCGTGTTGTGAGTACAGCAACTTTATTCATAATGCCCAAACCTTTCTGCAACCCTCTTTCCCGGATGGATGTCTACCTATAGGCAGCATAATAATCTGACGTATCTAATGAGCATATCGTCTTCCTCGTTCCCGCCAAGCGTGCTTTTAGGCCAGGGGTACGAAAGTTCACAGCACATATGCGGTTCTACCGACTGTTGCTCTCGGAGGGCTGTTCTTTGCAGGAAACCACCCGGTCTCGTCATACGGAAGCGACGTCCAGGACCTGGTTACCGCACGAAGCGGCCTAGCCTTTACCCATGAAATTTCCCGACTAATTGTCAGTCGCCACGTGACCGCCTGCAAACAGGATTGACTAGCCAACGCCTCTCCTGTGTGACTTGACAGTTTTGATCTCAGACCCTGGGAGGCAGGGCTCCCAGCTGATGGCTACCCGGCACATCCACAAGTGGCGGATAGTGGTAGCTCCTCCGCACAGAGGACCTGTTTGCAGCGCGAATAGTGGTTTTATTACCAGCAAGGGAACCAAGGTCGAACGCTGGCGCGTGCACTTCGAGCACCTCAACCTCAATGACCAACCTATCTCGCTTCCGCTTTCTGTGGATGAACTCAGGCCTATGCTGTAACGCGTGACCCCCCAATATTCCTAGGAGACCGCCTACGAAATACGCAGGTCACATGACAGCGCACCCAATGGACGGTACTACCACTAAAATCCGCACAAATTCGGCCGACACTCACGCCTTAGCATCCGTATGTTGACTGAGTGGGCATGAGTAGGTGAGATTGTCCAAGATGACTGGGGTTCGGAGATTTTTGTGCCTGTTCTCAGGAAGGGAGACAAGATTGAGTGCACGAATTGCCGCGACAAGTTTTGACGACGTTGCTCTGGAAGCCTTCACTTTCGCCACCCTCAGGCGATCTCAAGGCGTAACTCCAGGGTGAGACTCAACTATGCCGGGTCTCGATTTGTGTGGACAAAATATACACACTATGCGCACTCTTGGACTCCACCATTGCTGCAGGCGACCGCTGGTTGTCTAATGTTTACTTTGCCGCAGCGTTAGATCTCGTGCATCGTGAGCCCATTGAAGAAAAATATACGTGGGTCGCGTGCTGACAAAAACAACAACCATGACTTGCATCCACTAACAGTCCACCACGACGCGAACGCTTGTCCTCATAACCTGCAAATTTGCCTTACACAAGATAATATTCTGTCGCCGCTTCCGTTCCATTATACCACCGGCCTGATCCTTAGCAGGGCTACATCGAGTTTTGATGTGGAGCCCCAACCGGAAGAAGCACTCAACGGAGTTAATGGCTGTCAATTTGAGGATGCAGATAGTTTAAAAGGCCTGCGAGCGAGGCTGTTGCCGAATGAACAGGATAAGGACGCCATCGTCCTCCTAACCGATGCTACTCTCGGGGTTTTCACAATCCTCAGAAAATACCTATGGGTTTGGTGCGATATCATCGACGTTACAAAGATCCGAATGTATCAGGTATCCGCTAGGTCTGTAACCCCGTACGGTTGTAAATGCTGGGTAGTGCGCGTGGAATATAAGTGAAACTGGAGATTTGACCATCAGTGTTAGAGAACCAAACTTTGTGTGAATTAAACTGGCCTGGTTTCGAAAGGGACGGTCTGCACTCGCTGAGACAGATTCGCGCGGGTATCTAAGAGCATCCAAAACGATCGTAGTCGTTTCGGTAGGTCCTCTGTCCGTCTCACGAGCTGACTGGTGTCTCGGATTTGGTACCGTCGTCCATGTGTAGGTGTCGAAATGGATATCAACTAAAGACCAGGATCGACATATTTCGGCATGGCATGGGAGTAGTTCGTGAACCTCTGTATCCGGCCTTCGTCGCCAGAAGATAATGGGTCGAGCTTTCTAAATCCGTTACCGCTGCTAACAGTTCAGAAACGTCAAGATCCAACAAAGTGAAAACCGTTGACCAACGCATCCCAGCCTCGGTTGATGGCCCACTGACTCTTACCCACACGCGGTGCGTGATAAATCGATAAAAGAGGACAACCAGGATTTTGCGCAATGTAAAGCATTCTTAAGTGACGACGGCGTCACCCCAGTCCGCGTATACTGCCTACTTCCAGAGCTCTGGTCCGGGCGTAGAGTCAAATGGTGCACGCAGCCCTCCGCCAGAACGCAGTCCCCACTAGGCTAAGCTGCGGATGACAGAGCTTGATTTGCAGGGTATGGAAATTTGATACCGCATCGACCGGGGTCCAGGGCGACCATGGCGCAATAAAACGTCGACGCAGACGGATTATGCAGATCGCATGTCCGCAATCACTAATGATATGGTTTCACTGACGCTGGGAGAGCGCAAACTTAGATGACCTATTTCGCACTTTTATAAATCATCCCATGCTGAATTTCCGAAAGTGTGCAGTGGGAGTTCGAAAGGCCTTTATAATGACAATCAGTCCTGCATTCTTAGCTGACACCAAATATCCTAATTGCGTCCTACACAAAGCTAGGATGACCAACAGGGTGACGATAACACGCAGTTGGAATCATACATTCTCGATTGCGGGCGACCTAAAACGGCCGCCCTTGCGTTAATGCAACGAACGGTAAGATACAAGCAGGTGTGGGCCATTTAGTTCCTGACCTCCGACTGGCGGTCGGCCTCACCGTTGGGTATCTCACCAGGGCACGCCTTGGTTGTTGCCTAAAGCTAGTTAGGGAAAGGTCTTCCGCACATAATCAGCACCCAGCACACACGACGCCGACACGCCCATGGTGACGTCAGATCCCGTCGCATAGACGTTGTTTAACAATGATAGCTCTGAAAAATGCAACAGTGTGGCGGCATCCATAGCTCCCATGACCCATTGTTTCGGGCTGACAACCCAACAGTACACCTGCAAAAGCTTAGCAGGGGTACCCTGAACAAAGAGAATTAGAACATAACAACAAACGCAAGAAATGCGACGCAATCTAGAAAGCCGCCCAAACAACTGCGCGACCACGCGGGTGCTCGGGTTGTCGTTTGGCCCAAGTATAAATCTTATATTACAAGAGACGTATGGCCTTCCGGCAGCGAGACACTCGTGGCGGGCGCGATCAGCCATCAATGCCGACCGGAACAGGTCTCGCAGACGTGGCTCAATAAAGCAAAGCCTAAAACGACAAACTGCGTACCAAAAAGCTAAGTGGAGCTAGCTGCGGTCCAAAGACAAACAAGGAAGCAATCTGCGGCCACCTCGTTCTCAAAATAGGGCCAAAGACGGTGGCAACTATTCTGTGGCCCACTACGCAAAACACTATTCTAGCCTCTGCTGACCTGTCTAAATCCTGAGGACTTGATAAAAGGAAGAAGGGTCTTCGGAGATACCACTCAGCCGCACCACCTTGATAGGTCACAAGCAATTTACGTGAAAAGCGAGTGGATGTCCGAGACCGAAGTGTAAAAACAGTGAACCGAGTGCATTCAGGCCCCTTGACAGACCATACCACCAACATCAAAATTGCAGTCCGGATGTCGAGACTACACGACCTTGTCGCACATGCGGAGCACCCAAATTGAAAGGCATGAGGCACGTGCGGGTGGACAAATAGGCAAGTCAAAAAGAATAACAAGCCCAAAAAGGCCGGTGGCCGAGAAGTAGACATATCGACATGTGAACCTAGGCCTAGGACGATGTGTGACCAGATATCACAATAGAAAAGTGTATGAGCAAAACGGATTGCCAAGTACGTAATATATTTATGCGGTCAATACACAAGCACCGCCAACGGCCTTGATCCGCTCTTCAGCGCGGCGGGAGAAGTACCTGGCCTTGACGATGACAGGAACCTTCGGCAAGACGCCCTTTCCAAGAACCTTAAAATAGCCCTAAATGGAAATTAGTAAGAGGCAACCAGGCTACCTTTCGGACGCAATCAATGACTGGAGCCTTGCCATCGGTCCCATTTTTGTACTTCTCGTATGTGGCAGGAGACACGAGGGACCACAACTTATCCAGGTTGACGGTTGGGCAATATTTGGTATTTGGCTTCATGTGGAAGTGCCGCATACCGATCTTGCCAAAGTAGCCCGGGTGGTATTTGTCGAAGTTAATGCGATGGTGATGCTCGCCACCGGCATTGCCGCGACCGCCAGGATGCTTCCTGTGCTTTCCAACACGGCCCATACCGTGGCTGACATGGCCCCTCAACTTCCTGGTCTTCTTTGGCTTTATCTTAGACTGAAAAAGCAAACGTTAGAAAAGTACGCAGACTCACCATCGCACACGCGCACACTAGACCGAGCGCGAAACACTGTGAAGGTCGTTAAAACAAACTTCTAGCGAAAATTTCGTGGTAAAGGTCATGAAGGTAGAAATTGTTGACTGGTAAGTAAATTGTAACTGAAACTAGATTTTCCATTATTAACAACAATTGTTCAGTGGATTTTCTGGTAAGAAACAGTGGAGGGAATTCGAGAAAAAAGACAAGCATTGCAGCCCATCCCGAGCCGAGTCAAGTCACAGAGAAGCAGGAAAAATCATCTACTCCTTTTCTTTTTCTTATATCTGGTAAGACGAGTCGTCGGTGCTAAAAAGGAGAGGAACAGTGAGAAGCGTTGACTACGTTGCTCGGGTTGATCTTGGGAGTTGGCTATCTCTGGAACCCAACATATGTACGGAGGAGCTCGGGAGCGAGGACAGAAAGTTCACGAGTAGCAGTAAATGTAGCGGTTGGTGATAAAAGTAGGTGCCTGAAGATCTGTAGGCGTCTGCTCAGCCATGATTCAGTAAACCATGGCCCTTGTAGCCTCGTGTGCGCTGGTAGTTCTCTGGCACCTTATTCCTTGCCGGTGGAGTCGCTTGCGCCCTTGTTGGGTATGCAGGTCGTGAGCATCGCTACCCAGTCATCATCCTTCTTCTGACCCACCGTGGCGTTTTCGTTGGTCAAAATCCTGTTCAAGTGTTTGTTGTGGACTAGGGGGCGTGGTGGTACGTCCAGGTGCGGGGCCGGCCGTGTCAGCCACCCGCGTCCTCTCTCGCCTCTGGTCTTCATCGCTATATCTTTGCGCCGTGCCAGGGTGAGTAGGAGAGAGTGCAGTAGATTCTGTGCAAGTCGACACCCCCTTTTAACCAAATCACTCGCAAGTAATCGTGCCTGCTTCATCCTGCTTTGGAGCACACAGTGGGCATCGTCGGACACGAAACTTGAACTGTCAGGTGGCAACAGGGCAGAATCGAAGGTCGAAAATATCATAAGCCAGATATCTGCTTGAACAAAACAACACATTAAGATTGATCTTGGGATAAAAAGGTAAGTAATGATCAAAGAGTCTGATGTGGAATTGTCCCACTTACTACGACCACGTGTAAGTTATGCGTCTATACTCAAATCTGAAATTTTCGATATCATACATTTTTGGGGAAGCAGCTGGGAGCAAAAAATTATTATTTTCTGTGAACAGGCAAGCACTGGATGAGTTAGCTTCTTGCCCCAAGAGACAAACCGCTATCTCCACTAAATCCTTCATTTTGAATTCAGTAGAAACCCTGTTTTGAATTGGTTTCCAAATCCACTGCTATCACTCTTCCCCCATAGCGACAATTTTCGCGGTTTTTGATGTCATCTCCCGCATTCCCACCGCATGCGGTCTGTCGACGCTCACGGCGGAACCCTCAGTATTCGCCGTCTACTGGTAGTTTGGTCGCACCTCCCTTCCTCACTCCTCCCCTGGGCTCGAAGCGTACTGTGGCCGATCGCGTCTGGGTTCCTCTCGTTTGGCCTCTTTGACGCGAATAGTCTCATTCGGCGTATCAATCCGGCCCAGACGATGTCAGTTCTGAATCCCGTATACAACACCACATGCAGGCCAGTTCTGTCTAACCCGCAGACGTGCCCCTCAAGGCTGACATTTATTGTTGCCCTGACGATGTCTGACTATAATCCGTTATATACCGCCACATACAGGTCAGTTCTGCCCACATTTTTCTGCTATTATTTTTTATTAAAGGGTTTTTTCCCCGGAAAAGTTAATCCAATCATTTTTGAATCAGATAGACGTATAAAAAAACATGCAGACATTTACATAACAGTTATGCCATTCATTGATCGTGTAAATGTTTGACCATAAAACATAAATTGATGAAGCCTTTTTTGAAGGTCTTAACGTTTTCCGCTAAGACAACGGGTTTTGGCAGTTTGTTTCATCCTTCAACCTGCCGGTGGGAGATGAATTTGGCCCGCAATTCGAGTTTGGAATATGTTATCTTCAAGTTGTATTGAGTGGTCGTCCGCGCTAGTTAGAAGAAATCGTCAGCTCCTTGTCAACTCAGATGCCTTCATTCCAGATTGTAGTAATCGTTTGCAGCCCAGGTATTGTTCCTGAAACTGAGAGTAGACCGGCATCTTCAGTAAATGACCCCAGTCTCTCACTTTTTGGTAACATTCATGTTCGGAATGACTCCCCATACAGCCATGGTGGGTGAATTGCCATAAGCGTTATGCAAACAATTATCTTTCTGCCGCTGGGCATCCCATGCCTATCAGCAAGAAAACGCAACTGCTCACTTCAGATTGCGACAGACACTATTTATTATGAAAAAGAGCAGGCTATTTGGAAAATTCAGTTGTACTCGTGAATTTTCAAGTTGGGGACACCAGTCCATTGTCAGAGGAAATGAGGAGAGAAGAAAGTGAGATCGACAAACTAGATCGGCTGGCGCGGCGGCACAGAAAGCGACAAACAAAAAATGGAACGTGAGAAGTGTGGGTACCACATCACCTCCCTCATTGACTGTCGTATCACACATGCGTAGGGTCTTTCAAAGGTGCACAAGGAAGCGGCGCCATTGAGGATCATAGTGCTACTCACTGGATCCCCTATTTACAACCCTGCCAAATGGTTACACAGGCACCAAAAGCACCTCACTAATGGATGACATTGCAGCATCAGGAACTCCTAGGCTTTCTCACAGAAGATCCACGGCCGAAAGGCGAGTCTTGGCGAATGCATCCTATCGTTTGATGTTATTTCCCAGTTTTTCTTAATGCCGCATGATTTGGCAATTGAAAGCGGAACTCGATATCAAGGGGAAAGTCTTATGGGCATTCCGGCATCTTTTAGACATGCTTAAACTGTCTCTCAATAATTGTCACCAGTGCGATTACAATTACTATGTACAGGTTGAGGACACCCCAATGGATTCGCTTGTGGAACTAGTCTTACAACGACAAGAAGAGGATGGTTTGCAAACTGTTAAACCAAAAGTATGGCTCCGTTGCGTAGATGCCACTTTCGTCATCATAAAGACCTCCGACGTCGAACAGTTGCCCCCGATCTTGAATTGCATCTTCCCGGCTATCGAGTTTACTCGCGGAGAAGTAACAGGAAATACTCTCCCGTTCTTAGATGTGATCAGTTAAAGTATCGACGATGGCAAAATCACAATAAGAGTCCATTGAAAAGACTTTAGTGCCAAAACCACCCTTAATTATGGAAGCAATCATCCTGTGGCCCATAAAAGAAGCTGTTTCCGCATTCTCTTCCATCGTGCCTTTCGTCACTGCAGCGGTGAGGACTTTCTTAGGAAAGAACTGGCGTACTTATATCGGTTACTCTGGCCCAAAGGGTATCCGACTAGTTTAGTAAAAATTGCTTCAGACGACAGAGACAACCACAAAGCCTCGATTCTAGTGGAGAAAAAGTGCCACGGAAATTCTACTCACTGGCGTACATTTAAGGAGTTTCTGAATCAATCTTCATCGCACAGAATCCCGCGCGACATTATTCTGAGTAAAGGACCCGGTGCCTCAAGAACGACTATTTAATATCATTTACCGCAGTCCGTACGTCAGCTGCCCTTGTATTTAAATTGACCATACAGGCCGACATGCTTGGATTCGTATTAACAAGCATGAGTTAGACCTCCGCCGAGGTGACCCTCTGTCCCTGCTGCTTGCGCATGCCCTTGAATGTGACCATCGCTAAATTGGGGCGGTAGACAAGTGGTCGCAATGGGTAACATTGGATCTACTCTGCCGACGTCACTTCCTCCTCTACTCATTTCGTCTGACTACGGGCTGGTGTCATCAACTTAAAAATCCACGAATTCAACTCGATGTTTCAAAGACCTTTCTCTTTTTTATTATCTCATCTCAGAATTCACACAACATCAGTTATTCAGCTATTTATTATTTATCAGTTGATAACATTACAATAAAAATAATAACAGTAATTGTATTTAATGCCATTTTAAAAGCATTGTCAAAAAAGATAATGTGGGGATCGGAGTAGCAGGGAAAAAACTCCTTATAAACAATTACAGAGGATGGTGTTTTGTATAGTTTGGGTGGTTCTGGGAAAAAAAAACTTTTACCCGTAAAATGACCTCAGTCCAAAAAGTGATGGGTAACACTGCTGTGGATATCTTAGTCTCAATTCCTTCTCATGAATTTGGTACTGGACCAGACAGAGACACTGGCGAGCCGTTGTTTGCTGGCGGCTGAAGAAATTATTCGTGGCGAGACTGGCCAGGGTGATCAGTGACCACGAGCGCCGTCACTACGGTATATTCGACCGGTGGATCCAGCACCCAAAATTTGTGGGAGTTTTTCCGAATGCAAAAACGAGTAAATCTTCTCCTAAATAAGGGATAATTTTGCAGAATTTTTGCATTCTCGAGTAATTTATCCCAAATAGCAATTGTGTTCACAGAACAGAACCGACGACAGTTGACGGTACGTGCCAGAGGAAGAAATAAAAGGATCTCCCGATGAACATTACGCCGGGGGTGCTCAATATGTTTTAAAGTAGAAATCGGACTAAAAGTAGGATTGTTTAAAAGCTTAAACAGTACAAATAGCCCCTTTTATAATCGAAGAAACCACGAGGGGTCAAGGCCTGTAAACTGGCAACGTTCTAGAAGGTTAAGTATCGGCGGTCTGAGATTAACACACTCTCGAGGAAAAAGTGTTGGACGGATTCTATTATCTTGCGTCCAGCAGCACGCATGAGGCTAACTAAAAACGAACGGTATTCTAGACTAGGTCAAACGTATATTTTACTAGGACGCATTCTAGTACCGCTGGTTTTTTTGAGTTTCGGAGGATAAACCCGGTCGTTCTGCGTGCTTTGAAGACTCTCAGGGCGCAGAGTTCCGAAAGAGTAAAACTCTTGGAGTATGATACACCCAGATCCTTAATAATTTCAGGCACATTTATGCCGTGACCGTCAATACGTAGTTGCGGTTGGTGGCCATCGCCAACCACCATAAATGGGCATT